GGGTCCGGGCTGGGGATTCGAACCCGCCACCTTAGGTGTACGTGGCTGGCGCCTTAGCCGCTTGAGCCATAGGCGCTGAGCCAGCTATTTTTTTTGTTGCAGTTTGGCCAGGGCCGGGTTTGAACCAGCCACCCTTGGTATATGGGCGCCCTACCCACTGAGCCACAGTTGCCACCCTAGATCAGTATTTTCATTTGAAAGAGGACTAAGCAGGAAAGGGCAAAAAAGAAGGAAAAAAGAAGTGATGATAGAATTTCAGGCCTGGTAGATGCTTTTGTGCTCTAGATGCCTTTTCCTGTTGGTCTGAAATTATACTTTCCCTTTCTGCCTTTGCAATAACCCAGTGCTCGTTCATAGGCTTTCATGTTTTTGTGTTTTTGAGTTTCACTGTCTGAGGCCATTATATTCAATAATTTCTTTTCCGAATGTCAGCTTTTTATCGTTGCCCACTGCCTAGACAAGTAAGGGTCCTATTTCATTCACTGTTGAATCCCCACAGCCTCCATGGGGCCTCAATAAACATTTAATTAATTAGGATTGCTCAATAAATATTTAATGCATTAAAAATGAATGAGTAATCAGAGCTAGAATATTCTAGTTTCTGCATGTCACTCGGGCATCTGTCACTCAGTTGCCCTACGTGTTCTTAGGACAGGTTTTAGCACATTGCTCAATTCAGGTTGCTCTGAATTATTTTAATTACTGGGAAAAACCTATAAGTTGTCATTCTATTTTGAAGAATACACCTAAAATATATACACAGTGGTGAAAAGAAAAATCTGACTAGAGTCAACTTTTTTCTAGACTCATATTTTATGCTTTTCTTCCATTAGGTGAAGTTTTGTTCACCACATGAACATGTACCAGACGTGAATGAATTTAAAGGGTGCATTAATATTTTTATTTTATTTCAGCAAACTTCAGAAGACAAAGCGGGATATCAGATGGCTTCAAGGAGTGACCGGTGAATGGTTTGAAGAAATTCAAAGAAAAAAGTTTTGCAATGAAACAGATGTTAGCCAAATGTTAAAACAACCACTTACATATAGGCTAAGGAAGGAGATGGCAAAAAATGGTAAGAAAATAATTTTATTGGCTCAGCTCCATGGCACAGTGGTTAGGGCGCCAGTCATATACACCAAGGGTGGTGAGTTCGAACCCAGCCCGGGCCAGCTAACTGCCATGCAGTTGCAATGACAACTGCAACAAAAAATAGCCAGGTGTTGTGGCGGGCACTTATAGTCCCAGCTACGTGGAAGGCTAAGGCAAGAGAATCGCTTCAGCCCAAGAGTTTGAGGTTGCTGTGAGCTGTGATGCCACAGCACTCTACCAAAGGTGACATAGTCAAACTCTGTTTCAAAAAAAAAATAATAATAGGGTGGTGCCTGTGGCTCAAAGGAGTAGGGCACCAGCCCCATATGCCGGAGGTGGCGGGTTCAAACCCAGCCCTGGCCAAAAACTGCAAAAAATAATAATAATAATAATAAATAATAATTTTATTTAATTTTTTTTTCTTTTTCTGTGGTATATTATTGTAGATAATGGCTCAGTGACTCTCCAAGTTAACCAATCCATGTTTAGGACTATTTTAAAGTCGTAAAGCACCAAAGTTTTACAACATACATTAAAAACGTGAACTGAAATTTTACTGTACTGTCGGGCTCAGCATTATTTTTAGAATCAGGCAGGATGGCATAGTAATGAGGAACACAGCCATTGGTTAAAAAAAAAAAAAAGGCCTGGGTCAAGTTCTCTACTTTGTCTCTACCCATGTCATCTATCCAAGTTATTCATTCTCTGTAACTCTCAATTTTCCCATCCTTATTTTTTTAAACTTTACTGAAATTAATATAAGGGTTCAATTTTTAGGTTACGTTGTTCTCACTTCCAGGGTAAAGCTCCATTTGTAGAAGAGCCCCTCACCCAGGGGGCGTGTTATTCACCCTCACGATGTGCACATTAGGTGAATTTTCTCATCTTTAAATGGCTTGTATTGAATTTTCTCATCTTTAAATAGTTGCTCATTTTGCCTCAGTCCAGGGATGTCCTCATGGGATGGTCATAAGAACTGGGTAAAATTGTGTATGTAAAGTATTAAGCCAGAACACAGTAAGCACTTAAATAAATGGGATGATGATAAGGAAGGAAGAGGAAGCACAGAAGGGGTAGTTGGGGGAGGAAAGAATCAGAGGAGACGAGAGACAGAGAGAGAGAGAGAGAGAGAGAGAGAGAGGGAAGGTAGCAGAAGGCCTGTCCCTCTTGTGGTACTGCAGTAAACTCTGTAAATGAATTCTTTTAACGCCATCTATGCACATTCTAACTGTGTGACTACCAGCATGTGCTTAATGAAGGTACTAAAACCCACTTTCACAGGGCTATTGTGAAAATAACAAAGTACATTAGAAATTACAACATATTAAAATAGTATAAAATATCTCTCTACTGATACAAAGTCACGCCGAGTGCTCTTGTGTGTATTACTAACATTAGAACGTCATCAAGCATGTGTCAATAATACTATTTCTAAACTTATCATGTATTGATAATATCTTAGAACACCCCTAATAAACAAATCTATCTAAAAAGACTCACAGTTCATTTTTAGATCAGCCCCATATATGCCATGGGGTCTTTTCCCTTATTCTAAATTCCTCTAATATTTATAAAGTCAGCATGTCCAAAAGTATTAAGGTGTTATGGACTTTGTATATATTGATGTTACCTTTGAGTTTTAATACTCAAGTATAAAGCTATTATATTATATATTATCTATACATAGGGTGTGTGTTATGCATATACAGGTTGGCTATCTCTTTCCTGAAATGCTTGAAACCAGAGGTGTTCCAGAATGTGGAATATTTGCATTGTATATACTTACCACTGAGCATCCCAAATCTGAAACGCACCCATGAGCATTTCCTTTGAGCCTCATGTAGGTGCTCACAAAGTTTAAGATTTTGGAGCACCATGGATTTTGAACTTTTGGATTTGGGTTGCTCAACCTGTAAATGTTATGTGCGAACACACAGGTGAAACGTTATATGTAGCAAATACATACGCACAGAGACAGATGTTGGAAAGAATAAGAAACGGTCTAAGTGACTTCATTTTCTTTCCCTTTGCTGACTTTGATATAAAAGCTATGTAGGTGATACCTGTCACCATGATTTTAAAGTATGAAACTGCTGAAGGACACAGTGGTCAAGCAACATGAGAACTGGATGGGCTTCCTGACTTCCTAGCTTGGATTTAGATAGCCGTGGAAGCCATGCTGAAAAGACTGACACAGCTGGCATGAGAGGAGGGACTCCGATCCCCAGTACTGACTTAAACCTTACTACCTGTGAGGATTTTCTATGCTTAGCAGAACCACCAGAGGCACAGGACTCTGAAATGAAGCCTCTGACTCCCCTTAATTCCTGAGGTCTTCAGGGGAGGATACCTCCATTTTTAGACGGCATTGAGCAGCAGTTCTCAACCTGTGGGTCGCAACCCACAGGAACTGTATTAAAGGGCATTAGGAAGGTTGAGAACCACTGGCATAGAGGGAGAGAGGGAAATAAGAGTGAATGCTTTATTCTTTTAAGTTTATTTACCTGGAAATATTTTAATGATACAAAAGTTTTGCAATTTTTTTTTTCAGAATTAGAAACATCAAGATCTAAAAATTTAACTAATCAAAAAAAACCAACATCTGTTCCTTCCCGGCTGAGCTTCAGATCATCACTTGCCTCTCTGTTCTCATTCAGGAAATCTGGAAAGGAGACTTCAAAGCTTCAATCTCAAGGGCAGAAAGGGTGAGTTAAACTCAGATCATGTGACAGCCTGTAACTTATCTGATCTCAGCGGCCAGCAGCCTGTTTTGTGTCCAGAATGTTTAATGTTTGTTCTTAGAATTTCAACTCAGATAGTAACAAAAGAAACAGGACTTGTTTGTTTTTAGGAAACAGGAATTGAGCTCACGTAGTGACCAAATCCTTATAAAACCATAAACTTGGCTCACCTGAAATCCAACTTCTAAGCCGTGGCAGGGGTGGTGCATTTGATGAATGATGGATTAAAACTTGGGAAATAGTAACAGTCTTTCCACTGCTTCAAGAGGTGGATCCAGGAAGAGATAACTAAATTAAAATTACTCCTCCTTTAGTGAGTATGTGTGTCATAAGGAGAGTAGGGTATAAAGACTATGTGAGAGCAGATATGAAATGAGCAAAGGCGTTGCCAGGGGTAGAGAAAGTCAAGTTCAAAAATGGGGGGAAATGCATTCCCAGAAATATGAGGGCAGCTGTTCCCGTGCGGTTGCCCAGCGCTTAAATATAAGGTTTTGGGAGGAAATGTTTTTGGAGCAGTAGGAATGTCGTTTCCAGGCAGTTCCTGGTTGAGAACTGTATAAATCAGTTCTCTTGACTCACTGTGGGGTTGGATTGTTTTGTGAAAAACAAGCAAGGCTGTGCTTCTGTGCAGTCGAGCTGACTGCTAAATATTTTCGGCACGTCTTCCTGGTTACAGCTTCCCACCCTCTTAAGGTGTTGGCTTGGCACGTGATGTGTTCCGTGAGCCTGAAACCATTAAGAGAGCGTTGCAGCACCGAATAAAAGGTGTTGGAGGTCACTGGCACTGAAAAACAAGAGCCAGCAAGCCACTGGCGGGGCGTGTGATGAGGCGCTGGGACTCGGCAAAGCCCTGTCCTCCCCTCTTGGGCGGATGGAAGGTTTTTTACTTCCAGCTTTCACCTGAGGTTGTTTTTGGCTGATGAAATAATGAAGAGCTGAACAAAATGTAGACCTACTCTATGTGACTGTCTCTACCACAGTCACTTTGAAAGGAAATACTCTTCAAATCGGTGAGTTGCTTTTCTTTGTAAGAAATGTTTGAGACTCTAATGAGTCTCTCATTTGGGGGATTTAAAATTGGGGAGTATTTCTTGCACAGGGAATACTTCTTTTAAGGGGAAAAGAAACATTCCTAATGTGTGGTGGAGCTAGGATTTATGATGTAATTTGTACTTTAGGTGATTTTCTTGAGACAGAGTATTGCACAGCTGAACAATCTGATTTAATAAACCAAGAAAAGTTGAGGAACCTGTTAATTCTCTGGGCAAATTATTTCCAAGCTCGTATTGCAAGTTACTGCAGAAGTGGTTAAAGAAGATAAAAGATCTGTAATCTTAATTCTGGGTGTCATGTATTTGGGTTATAAACCAGCTTTGAAAAATTGAAACTCTTGCGAAATTTTGTTTTGCAAATTTCCTTCTTAGATACCGAAATGACTTGTAGCTCTTTTAACCAAACTCAAACACAGAACAGCAGGCAGACCCAAAACACATTTCATCATTTAAGTGTATGTATGTGTTTATTAGTTTTCAGCACTTATCTTCTTTACATACATTTTACTTTTAAAATGTAAGTAGGAATATTTAACATTTTCCTTAATATTAGTTATCCTTTATTGGTAAATATTTATTAATTCTGCTGGCATGGAATATAATAAAGGCACTGTGTTTTGCTCCTAAGAAGTTTCGGAAGATAAAATTTAAAATCGTGTCCTCTAGATTTTTAAATTTGAATGTGACCTAAGTATTTGGATATAAATCCTACATGTGAGGGAGGAAGTATTTTTTTAAGGGGAGTGTTCTGCTATGGCAAGTAATACAAAATTGTGTGTCATACATTCTGGGGAGCTCTTTAACCTCAGGCAGAACCTAACTTTCTTTGGAAGTTCTGATCCTTGAAAATACAAAATCAGCCTTCAAATTACAGACTCATTCAGGAGTTCCGATCTGCCTATGACTATAAGGAGGGGCTGACAAAGGGCTGGGGAGGCACAGTCATCCTGGGCCAGGCAGCAGTCAGGTTTCTACTTGCAGAAGCCATCAAGGGCTGGACTTGGTCACATTTGGTGCTCTGGATAACAAGTCAGCAAAGCAGTTTAGAGGATCTTCTGCAAATCAAAAAAAAAAAAAAAATAACCGACAGATGGCAAAAGACAGCCTTCTGTTCAGCTCTAAAAATCTTGCTTATCAGAGAAATTTCTTTTTCTCTTTTAAGCTTTCCTTTTACCCGAGAAATGACACTGGATGATGGGTCACCCTCCCCAGCCCTTTGTCATTTCACCAGATATACTCATCACTTTAAGGCTCAGCCAGTGAAAGTATACGGTACCATGAAGCTTTGATTTCTTTTATTATTATTTTTAGTTGTTGCATTTTTGGCCAGGCCGGGTTTGAACCCACCACCTCCGGTATATGGGGCCGGCGCCCTACTCCTTGAGCCACAGGCACTGCCCTGATTTCTTAATAGTTAGATAAGAAGCCATGGGAACTTGACTTCGTGAATGTATAAAAAGGCAAAAAGCCTTACCGTTCCTGCTTCAGATATGATTTGTTCCTCCTTCCAAATTTAATACACTTCCCAAATTATTTCATTATGACTTTAAATGTATTTATAAATGATTGACCCCACCCTGACCCCAGGAAAAAAATTTCCCATTCGTATATTTATTGATTGATTTGTTTTTATTTTTTTGAGGCAGTCTCAAGCTGTTGCCCTGGGTAGAGTGCCGTGGCATCACAGCTCACAGCAACATCAAAGTCTTGGGCTTAAGGGATTGTCTTGCCTTAGCCTCCCAAGTAGCTGGGACTACAGGTGCCTGACACAATGCCTGGCTATTTTTTTTTGTTCTTGTTGTATTTGTCATTGTTGTTTTAGCTGGCCCCCGCCGGGTTTGAACCTGCCAGCCTTGGTGTATGTGGCCGGTGCTGTAACCACCCACTTATTTATTTCTTATTTTCCAGTAAATTCAAGAAAAGTATACATTGCACACATTCCCCCAACATTTTCCTGTAAGTCGTGTTTCCATGTGCCTTGTTATGGGGTCTCTAGTGCATGTAACATGTGGTGCTCAGCTCCTACCACAGAATTTCAGTAACTCCATCATTCCACAGCATCCTTCTAGAGTTCAGTAGGTATCAAATAGTGTGGGCCATGAACTTAGAAATGCAGTCTTCTTGGCTGCCAAGAAGAATCTACAGTTGTTCCAGACGCCCAGTTACTTTACCAGTGCCTTTCCCACCATGAAGGAAGATGCGGCTGTCCTTCAGCTGCAAAGAGCTTTGGTGGATCCACCTAGCTGTTTTTCAGACATGCCCAAATTTGCCTGATCCATGGGGCACACACAGCTTAGGCCATCTAGCTGCAACCACGGGTTACATAAGCAAAAAGGTCGAATTTAATTTGGAACATTAAAAAGCCAGATCACATTTTCTGCTGGATGTGTCTTCCCTCTCCCTCTCCCTCTCTCTCTCTCTCAGTTCCTTCCGCCCCCCCTCCCCCGCCCCCGCCCCAGCCAGGTGTCCGACTGTGCCTGCTTCCTCTCTTCTAGCCCCTGCCTGTGTCTGAGTCAGAAGACACAGGACCCCAAGACACCCAGACCTGGGGGGAGGGGAGTAGAGCAAATAAGATCCTTCTTTAAGAAACACCTTCCCTAGTCCCAGGTGAGGTGTCCACAAAAGAACAGCAGGTGTGATGGCAAAAGGGAGAAGCAAGACAAAGGGAGTGGTTCTGAGTTTAATCCTGGGTTCCTACTTGATATATTTACAGAATCTCGTCATCAATATCAAAATCATGCCAGATTATTAGGCCCCAACCTTGTGATTCTGATTCAGAAGCTCTTAAGTAGGCTGCAGGGAGCTTTATTCATTTATTTGGAAATTTGGATGCTCAGTCAGGTTTGGGAATCATGTGACTTAGTTTATTCCCACCATGATAAGGGCTGTCAGAATTCCTGGCATGAGTGATTGTAGCCAACATGATACTCTCGTTAGTCCCACTCTGGATTAGACACTGGGTTAGTACTGGAGATAAAATAATGAAATTAAACGAGAATCCCTGCCTGAGGGACTTTGGGATCTAGTAGGGAACACCAGATGACCACAGAACTCTGGGAAGCGCCAGTTACATCGTGACCATCATGGATCTGTGTGAATTGTGGCAGCTTCTGGCAAGTGACATTGAAAGGTTTTGAGGAAGGGGTGCTTTTTAGAGTTGACAGAGGGATACCAGGGGCCACAGCTGCAACCTGGGTACCAGCCAGGGACATGATGATTGTGGCATAACGTGCCATGTGCTCTGGTAGTGCACGACATTCCTGCCAGGAGAACATGCAGGAGAAGCCCTGAGCTCAGATTGGAGCATCCAGAGGCCTTCTTGGAAGAGAAGGGCCAATTTTTGAAGGACAAATAAGACTGAGCCAGGCAATTAAGAGTCCAGAGGCTGCACCTGTCAAAAGGAATAGCACAAGCAAAGGTGCAGAGACTGGCGCAAACAGGCATTCACCTGCTGGGCTCTGTGACCCAGGAAAGGTGAGAACTGGTGAGCTGGGGCGGGAGGACTTGGCAGAGCCCCCAGTGCAGGCACCTTTTACGTAAATATGCAATGCAATGCCGTGTGAAGGAGCCTGAACTTGATCCTGTAGGCAGTGGGGAGCCATTAATCACTTTCAAAATAATACCACTCTTACTCTTTTTTTCTTTTTTTTGAGACAGAGTCTCAAGCTGTCACCCTGGATAGAGTGCTGTGGTGTCACAGCTCACAGTAACCTCAAACTCTTTGGGCTTAAGTGATTCTCTTGCCTCAGTCCCCCAAGTACCTAGGACTACAGGTGCTTGCCGCAACACCCAGCTATGTTCTTTTTTGTTGCAGTTGTCATTGATGATTAGCTGGCCCGGACCACCACCCTCGGTGCATGTGGTCGGCACCTAACCACTGTGCTACGGGCGCTGCCCACTCTTACCCTTTAT